AGTGGCGCAGATGCATCCACTCCTTGTGACTTATGCTTTCCGGTGAAACTGTTTTGTTCTTCGTTATTACTCCTCCTCCTTTGTCTCACACCTCTGCTTACTGTCTCTATTATGCTTTTCTTGTACTTTCTTCTCTTGCTTTGTGTGCTATAGTGAGGAAGTGTGGCGACTTGAACTGGTGCACATGTGTGCAAAGTTCTATGTCGAAAACAGACAGACAGAAGGCAGCATTCGAGTCGGCCTACCGAGAGCTACTACGGTAATGTTTGGCTGTGGGAGGAATGCTGAGAAAATATATTGCACTCTACTCGAACTAATGTAGCCAGGTAAGACCTTATTGCGAGTTGTCATCTGAAGTGGTGACGACTAGTGGTGTTCGACTGGGATGCCCACTATCTCCATTTCTATTCAATTTCCTCATAGATGTACTAATGGATTTAACCCTGACTCACTTCAGAGACTCAGAGATTTACTTGTTACTTGCCAGGGAATAATCTCGTTGACTTAGAATATGCAGACGATATAGCCCTTCTAGGCGAGGACGCTGACAAAATGAAGCAGAGTCTTCTAAACACCTTGAGCTGCAATCTACGAATGTTTGGCATGCGATTAGCTCCCTTTGTCAAATGTAAGATGATGTTACAGGACTGACTGGACTACACTGACTCCTAGTTTAGAAATAGAGAGTGAAGTGGGTAATGGGCGTATTGACCACTTCACTCACTGTTTTTGGGAGTTGCATCAGCCAACACCAGCGGGTTGATCTCCGATGAAATCTCAGCACAGATACAGAAGGCTAATTTCGCATATGCCAATTTACGCCCTCTCTGGTGTAGACGTGATATCCAACTGGCTATAGACCAAAGGGCGTGTGTACTGCTCAGTAGTTCTCTCTGTCCTCCTTTATGGCTGTGAAAAATGGCTTAGAAGGTAGAAGACATGAAAAGGCGGGCTAACTCTCTTCGATCATTGGTGTGTGCATTCTATCTCCTGTGTTAAGAACTTTGCACAGATGTGTAGCAGTTCGAGTTTCTACTCTCCTTCCACACAAAGCAAGAGAAGAGAGTAAAGAGAGATTCATAGTAAACAGATGTATGAGGCAAAAAGAATAGAAATATGGAAGAACATTAAAACTTTATCGGATATGACTGGCAAATCACAGAGAGTAAATGCATCTGCAACAGCCATTGAGAACGATCTTGAGCCATATCACCAATTGTCTCCAACTATCATTAGTTCTTACCATCCCAAGGACCCCAATCAATCAGTCAGGAAGTCTACACCTTCCTAAGTGGCTGGCTGACCATCTTAAACTAACTGTTATGGATTTCACTGACTGATGAAGCCACGTTTTGGTTTGACCGCGAGCCGCCAGTTCTTTTCCAACCTGATTCAACTTATGTCACCTAACATCGCCCGTCGTCGAGGAAGGCGATATCTGGTGAGCCATGCCTAACACATCCTAACCATCTCTCTCAATCGATGTAACTTCATTACCTCATCGGTCGATTTCCCCTCCCACCTACCTAGCAATTCACCCATGGCTAACCTTAATATTATTTGACAGTTGAAGGTATTCGGCAAAAAACCCTGCTTTTTACACGTAGGTTTCGTATTTGCTGACACTCACCAGTCTTGAAGGAATTCATGTCCCCTCTGACATTCGAACCTGTGTCACCCAGTGCTACAGTCAGAGATGTATGTTATATTACATGAATTTGTCTAATATGAATAACCAGTAGTTTCATTGATGATAAGACAATCGCTGATTGACAGGAAAATACACGACATTTTGATTTGGCTGTGTGTTCTCTGAGCTGGTTTCACTCGATCACTGCCTGTCGTGCAATGTCACTCGTTTGTCTTCTAAGTGTATGTCCGCTGCATCTCCACATCCTACAAAATATATGCTGAGCAGTCGGCTCTTGATCGGTCTGTTCCCAGCCAGAGTTTCTTGTCGCTGATTCTTTCTGATTGGCTGGCCATTTGACCTTCAACAATATGGAGCCAGCGAAGACAGCTGCTGTCGATGAAATTCTGTTATGGCCTTTTGGAAATTGTTTTCGTAACGCGCAATGCAAGTTTCTAACCCATATAGGCAAAGTGCCCTACCATTTGTGCTGAAAATCTTAATTTTACTATTTCCTCTGAATAGACAAGATTTCCTGGTGAACCCCTTGAAGTTGTTGACAAGTTCGTGTGACTAGGTTTAGTGTGCCAGTGCTGGTGGTGGTGCCATGGACGAGATCTCTAATTTTATCATACAAGTTATGGTGGCATACTCCAGTTTTGGCCACCTCTGTCAAGACGTGAGCCTGACTGTCGAATGTCGGGCTTACAATGCGTTGGTGCACTCAGTATTGCTCTAAACCTTTGGGATCCGGCCTCTCCGAGCTGAGAATGTGCGGTGGCCCTACATGTTCGATAATCTGTGTGTGTGTGTATGTGTGTGTAGAATTGCACGCATTTGATGCCATCATCGTATGCCTAATTGTCATCTCCAACAGCGTCCGTTTTGTGGACACAGTGAAGGTTACCATTTCCTGAATGTCTTCAAAATACTGCTGTTAATTGTAGGTTTGAGTGAGCAGGTATGAGAGGACAATAAATCTAATAAACCTAATTTCCTTAATCCTTACTTAACTTTGATATTAAAAGAGGCGGTGATGTGACTGTTTTTTTCAAGGCCACCACTACTTAGTACACCGTTCGTTTTTTATTGTTAAAATTCCAGTGAACTCTATTTTTAACTTGACCTAAGATGATTATGTTGAAACTTTTAATTAACTTGATGAATTTATTCAAATTTTTTTACAATGTAACAATAGAGTGATCGTCAGTGTTGATTTTTAAAAATGTAGTTAGCAGTGAACTTCATAGTTATGTGGCGGTATATATCGCCTCATTGTGACTGTATCTGTTTTTTGTATGCTAAGGCTATTAATGATGATAATAATAATAGTAACACTTGTAAAAATCAATCATTAACTAATGAAATAGTGTCATTAGATAATGGTAGACGATTTCGCATTTTGTTAATGTGTGTGTGTGTTTGTGTGCGTAGACTGTTGACCTTGTAAATAATCACATTTACTCTAATTCCTTTCTATACTACTAATAACTTTTTAGTTGAATGCACTCAATGTGTGTAGTGTGTAAAAGTTTTCCTGAAACTCAATAATACAGAGGGAAGTAAATTTAAAGCCGTAGAAGAAGTGTGGTTTGCCGGCTTTATTACTATTATTATTGTTTCCTTTCATTCCTAGAGGAACATAGGGCTTCAGCTACACGTCTCTATTGCGCGTTCGTTTCTCCACCAACGTTTTCACCTCGCTCCAAGTCTGCCCACATGTTTTCATCTCCTCTTCACATGGTCTTCTCCTTGTCATTCTCGCACTGATGACCAACTAAGTCGCCGCTTCTCATTTGGCCGGGTTCCACTCGAGCAATGGCCTGGTGTGTGAGATGTCACTCACTTGATGGTTTGCTTTCTCAGGGTAAAGTAAATCTATCTCCGTTTCTTCCTGCATATTTATTGCACAGTTGGTTCCTGCTGGGTTGGTTCGTTCTCAGTGATCTCTGTTGCTGATCTTTTCTGGCCGACCGTCTGATCTTGAGCGGAGACAGCTGTTGACGAAGGTCTGTAGTTCGAAGTGCCCTTCGTGACGCGCCAAGTCTCTGATACACCCGTATAGAGTAGCACTGACTTCACATTGCAGTTTAAAATCCGGATCTTATTTTTCATGCTGAATGCTGTTGATCTCCAGGCACAGACCTGAGATTAATGAAAGGTTGCCTTGCTTTCCCGATCTTCGTACTTTGATATCCTCAACAGTTCCATCCGCCTATATTTGAAACGATGCTTTCCAGGTAGGTGAAGTAGGTTGCTTCTTTCAGATTTCCCCCATTTATGCTGGCCGATTGTTGTTGCTGCTGGCCAGGAATCTTTATCACCTCTGGTTTCTCTATGACCACCTGAAGACCTATCTTCTCTGGAGGCTTCTTCTTCTCTTGAATATCTTCCAGCTTGTGGGAAATCAGACACATCACATCAGCGAAGTCCAGATCCTCCAAATTTTTTCTGTGGGTCCGTCTTATGCCTGTCTCCTCGTTGCCCGCCACTGTCTGTCGCATTATCCAGTCTACTGCAATTAGAAAAATCATTGGAGATAGTAGGTAGCCTTCCTTGTTTTACTCCCGTCTTCATTTCGAAGGATTGCATGGGTCTTCCGCTGTGGATTATTTAGCATGCAGCATTGTCGTACAACTGTTGGATGAAGTGTATAATTGTTGGCGCCAGTTTGCTGGCTTTGGTTGTAGGATTTCAAGCATTGACTGTAGAGATTGAATCTAGATTTAACTACTTTAGCATTATGCGTTGAGTATCTTACTGCTATCGAAACTTCAAAACTCTAGCTTGAAGCCCTCCCTATGTTCCACTGGGAACGCAAAGGAATAAAAAAAAAACAGTTTCACGTGTTTAGTCCCTTAGTAGTAAAGCGTTCACTAAGCTGCATGACTTGGCAGTGTCAATCACTTTATAAATCGATCTTAGATAGTTGTAAGCATTCGGCAGGATGCCGTGGATGAAGATTTCGTGCTTATCAGCACATGGTCATATATATATATATATAGTGAGAGCTGTCTGGTAGCTGAAATTGGTAGACAGCCATTTACGTCAATGTTTACGTCCCAAATCTTGGTCTTGAGAAAAAAACAGGACTAATTCAAGAACCAATTACAGCAGACTTGGCGTAGGCGGATACGATTAGCAGATATATGGTCTGACCTTCAGAGAAATGGCCAGCGAGAAGACCAATCAGAAGACGCTGTTTCTCTGCTAATAATAATGTACATAAAAAATCTATAACTATCTATCGATTTCCTCAATAGACTCTTCACTGAACTACACGTGTGTATGTGTGTATTTTATTTCACACTAATCTTTATCTGCCTATCTCATAATGATGAACTCTTGTCTTTTTCTATATTCATTCTAGGCATAAGTGTTGTAAATTTTGATAAATATCCAAGTAGAGAATATCAACGAATGTGGATTAGCACATATCTTTCAGCTAGAGATTATTATACAAAGAAATTCAATAGGTCAGGATATCAATGCCACCACCTACAACCGTCGGTGCGTGAATTGAATCAAAATGGCTATCCTTCACTATCTTCCTTCAAATCATCTTTTTCTTCATGTCCATCAAATAATATCGTCAATTTAACATTAGTTGATGGTCATAATGAAAATACAAGTACAGTGGATAAATGGTTGATTGAAGCGAATCACTTCGCTATGGTAAGTGGAAGTTGTGATGGCGGTGATATATTGCTTTTTGTTGTTGTTGTTGTATATTAGCTGACTGACTGGACTACACTGACTCAATCCTAGCTTAAAGATAGGGGGTGAAGTGGGTAATGGAGCGTGTTGACCACTTCACTCGCCAACACCAGTGGGCTGATCGCTGACGAAATCTCTGCACGATTACAAAAGGCTCGTTTGGCATATGCCAACCAACCTACACCATCTCTAGCTTAGTGGATGTGATATCCGGTTAGCTGTCGACTAAAGGGTTTGTGTGCTGCTCAGCAGTTTTGCTCAGTCTTCCTTTATGATGTGACCATCGAAATTGGAAGATATGAAAAGGCCGGCCAGCTGTCTTTGATAATTGATGTCTGCGTTCTATCTCTCGTGTTAAGGTGGCATAATACGGTGAGTAATATTGATTTGGTTAGGTATCGAGTGCTAAGTAGTGAGAGAAAATCAGTCGACGAGGTTACGAAGTTACATCGATTTAGACGGTTAGGATATGTGTTACACGTGCCTGGCTATCCATGGCCTCCCTCAACAAGCAATGATGTAGGATCAGATTGGAAAAGAGCCGGTGAGTTAGGCCGAAACATGGCTTCATCAGTCAATGAAATGAGAAACAGTTAGTTTGAGTCAACCAGCCACGTAGGGACGTGTAGGCTTGCTTCGTGGTTGAGGTCCTCGGGATTCTATTGAGTAACCAATGGCTGTAGACAATTAGTGATGTAGCACAAAATAGTTCTTAGAATACATCTGTGCTATTGAAAATGATTTTAAACCACTTCACCAGCAGTCTCCAGCCCTTCTGGTTCTTAACGTCTCAAGTCGAGAAATAAGAAACACACTTAAAGCAAAAAATATTTAAGCATACCATTGTCTACAATGACTTCCTCCTCTCCACATTTTCAAACTTTATAGTTATAAATCCATCAGAAATATCACGCAATATATAAACCATAAAAATAAGAATACACATATCACACCAACTGTAAGGAGTTGTAGCCTATTGGTTTAAGCGCTTGACTTCCAACCAAACGGGTCATGAGGTTCGAATCCTGCTCCACCTACAGAGGTTTAAACAACCCATGTATTATCACTGTATGTCTCTCTGGTTTCAACATAGAACAACTTTGCACTGATGTGCAGCAGTTCAAGTCGTCACACTCCATGTATCACACAAAGCAAGAGAAGAAATGCAAAATAGAGACAGTAGACAAGTATATGAGACAAAAGGAATAGTAATAACGAAGAACAATATCGTTTCATTAGAAATTATAAGTCACAAGGAGTGGATGCATCTACACCAGCCATCACCGAGAACGATTTTGAGTTGTAGCACCGATAATTGTCTCCAGCCTTGATTGGTGTGTATCGTCCCGAGGACCACAAACAGCCAGCCGGAGAGTCTACACCTCCCGACGTGGCTTAAACTAACTGTTGTGGATTTCATTGACTGGTCAGGTCATGTTTTGGTTTGACCACCAATCAATAGCTCTTTTCCACCCTGACCCTATGTCAGCTCACATTGCTCGTCGTCGAGGAAGGCGATGGCTAGGCATTCGTAACACTTGTCGTAACCATCTCTCTCAATCTGTGTAACTCCACAACCACGTCGATTTATTTCACCATCTTACCTAACACTCGACCGATGCCTAACCTCAATATTGCTCACCTTATTGTACCACTTCACACTGGAGATAGTACGCAGGCACCTATGAGCAAAGACAGCTAGCCAGGCTCTTCATGTCCTCCACTCACAATGGCCAAGTTTCACAGCCATAAATTAGGATGGAGCAGACTGCTGAGCAGTACACAAGCCATTTAGTCGATAGCCAGCCAGATATCGCGTCTACGCCAGAGACGGCCTAAACTGGCATATGCGAAACGAGCCTTCTGTATCCGTGCTGAGATTTTGTCAGCGTTCAACCCGTTGGGGCTGATGGTACTTCCCAAATATAAGTGAAGCGGTCAACGTCCTCTACAACTTCACTCCCCATTTCTAAACTAGGAGTCAGTGTAGTCCAGTCCTGTAACATCATCTTACATTTGGCGGGAGCGAATCGCATGCCAAACATTCGTAGATTGCAACTCAAGGTGTTCAGAAGACTCTGTATTTTGTCAGCGTCTCCACCTAGGAGCAGGACTATACCATCATCTGCGAGACTAACATTCCCTGACGATAACAAGTCAATCCTTGAGTCGCTGAAGTGAGTTAGGGTTAAGTTGATGAGTACATCTATGATGAAATTGAATAGAAATGGGGATAGTGGATGGTGGTGGTATGTTCTTATCCACATATTTCATTACTCGAAAGTGCTTTCTATCATTTCCCCCTCGTTTTCAAGTTTAAAACCATTGAAAACTGGAGAGATGTTTCGTCTGTGGCCGGGGATCGAACCCCGGACCACCTGTGTAGCTGACGAACATTCTGCCGCCGTGCCACCAACGCTACCCTTTTAGTGATTATAACGTGATAATATATTTATGGATTTATGACTGCAGGCAGGCTGAAAATAAAGTTACCGAAGTGTTGGCTTGTAGGGATTTGATTGGTTACAGGATTTCATCGTGAACTGACATTAGTTAGAGAACTATTGGAAAACCTAGGAGTACTGGGCAGCTGTTTCGTCCTAGTTCGGGACTCTTTGCAGTACGCACCCACCGGGATTCAAACGCAGGACATTCTGGTTACAAGGCGAGCTCGTATACCATTAAGCCACTGGGACCCGATCCAATGACCCATGAATTCTAACTTCTGCCAATTCACGACATAGCGCAACCGCTAGTCAATGTCTTCGGCGAGTATTTCTCCTCACACACGACCTGCTGCACCCTACTGGTCACGACTGGTGGTTATCGTTTATAGCGAGAATTGTTCTCAATCAAAAAGTATGTGGAATGCTTTGTGAACTGTGCCATTTGTTTCCCTATAAGTTAGCGAAGGCCAGCAACACGTGGTAGACAGTAGTTTTACCAAGAACTGGAAGTCATTTGAAATGGTTGAAGCAATCGGTGAGAAAAAAGCTACCGGCTGGAGCGAGTGACATAAAAGGTAGATAACGCGAAAACTTCTATCAGTGTAATGCATGAACCAATGGTAAAGATCTATTACAAATACAACTTAGGCAACATAAAAGATTGACTTCGTTGAAATGGACAGATGGAGAATCAATGGAAACCAGGGAGTACTGGATAGCTATTTTCGTTCCAGTTCGATGGTAGTCTTCAGGAAGTTGTGCGTGAGAACAGACACTCGCTGATAACACACTGACTAGCAGAATTTAGAATTCATATGCAACTGGATTCCATCCCAATGACTGAACTATCAGTGGGCTCACATCGCCACCTCCTGAGGGTTTTAGTTTCGATTCCTGATTAACTGGCGTCATGAGTACATACTGCTGCTGAAACAGTCCTAACCCGCGAGGAGGGGACATCTGTCCAGTACATTTTCGGTCTTCAGTGGTTCGATAAATGATATCACTTCGTGATCTTACTTGACACTATTAATATCCCTGAGAATCAAACCTGGAAATTCGGTAGACATTGGATTCTTTACAAAGATTACTAACTTGTCGACTGAATAATGTTCAGGATTATTCAAATGTGTTGGATTGCAAGGATTGGTTGGAGAACCATTAGAAAACCAACTGTGGGTGTACTGGACAGTTGTTTCGTCCTAGTTTGGGACTCTTCAGTAGTACGCATTTTTTTTCTTCAAAAATATTACTCCATAAATACATTGGTCACATCTTTGGTTGGTTTTGTTTTGTTTTCGTACTCTTTTCTAATTTTTGATCTTCGTATACTTTCCACTTTTTAGGCAGCTCATTTATTCTGGGGTGTTTGGGCAGTTGTATTGTCAATTCAAGAACAGGACAAATTCGACTACTTATCGTAAGTAATTCAGTGGATTGAAAACTTTTTATTTTCTTTTTCTATGGTAAATCTTGTTAATCAATTTTTAAAAATAAGAAAACTACCGGTATATAGGATAAACATACCACTCACATATGCATTATATGGGATCAAAACCACTGGTTAGATTGTAACATTTTTGACGGCGAAGTTCAAGCAAGGCTGATCACAAATTGATTTCAGTTAGAGAAAAACTAGGGAGTGCTGGACTGTTCATTTGTCCTTATTTGTGCCTCTTCATCAGTATACACCTATGACCCCGCCAGAAATCGAAACCAGGACCTCCAATTTGCAAGGTGAACTCATTGACCATTGAGCCACTGAAACGGAATTCAATGTGCCCTGTCAACTGCAACTTCTGCTAATTCACTTTAAAGTTAATCTAGTGCTTATTGGTGATTACTGAATGAATACAGGATGAAATTGCCTGAAGTCCTAATGGGAATTCGCAACCAGCAGGTTTCACCAAGTTGTGTGTGAAGATGAATACTTGCCGATGACATTGGCTGATGGTCGCACTATGTATATCACAAGTTGGCAGCAGAAATTAGAATTCATGGCCCATTGGATTTCAGCAGCTCAAGTGGCTGGAATGGTCAATAATAAGCTCGCCTTGTAATCTGGAGGTCATGGATTCGATCCCCGGCAGAGCAATGCGGATGTACTCTTGAAAAGCGTCAATGAGGGGCGAAAGAGCAGTCCAGCACTCCTTGGTTTTCAATGGTTCTCTAACTGAAGTCAATCTTGGAATCAATCAAATCCCTGCAAACTAACAGTTGATGAAGTTCAATTTGAGCGATATTAAACATATGTTCTTCTGTATTTTGTGTTTTACTTATTGGCTATTGACATGTTGCAGTTTACTGGTGTCCCATTTTATGGACAGAATTTTAATTGTTACGTATACAGTCTAAAATCGTTCTCACCTATTCCCTTTTATTTTCGAGATAACAGTAAAATAGTCTTCAATCAGACGGTGTTGGTCCTCTTCTGTGTGCTTTGTTTCGATAGAACTCCGCGTTAATGTGTAATCAGTAGGAACAGTCTTTTTCAAGTTGACATAAGAACATACGAAACATAGGCATTATTAGTTTTGTGTGCCTGAGAATTCCAGGGTCTATGAATATATTCGTACGAAGAGCTTATCTCTGCTGGATAAATCGAGATATACAAATCTATGGGTTGACCTTTTCGTTATCCCCATGATCTCAATGTGGTCATCTGTAAGAGACACTGTTGTTACATTCCCCTGTCATTCTCCTAAATGCCTTTACCTACCTGGGAAGCATCGTTTCAACTATAGGCGGAACTGACGAGGATATCAAAGCCAGAATCGGAAAAGCAAGACAAGCTTTCATTACAGCAGTCAGCATCAAAACAAATATAAGATGCGGATTTTCAACTCCAATGTGAAGTCAGTGCTATTTGCAATACGGATCAGAGACTTAGCCAGCGCATCATAAAGAGCATCTCAAACAAACTTCAGACCTTCATTAACAGTTGTCTTCGCTCAATACTCAAGATCAGATGGCCGGCCAGAAAAGATCACCAACAGGGATCTCTGGCATTGAGCGAACCAACCAGGAACAGATTGTGAAACAAATAGGCAGGAAGAAATGGAGATGGATTGGCCGTACTCTGAGGAAACAAACCATCAAGTGACATCACTAGACAACCCATTGATCGAGTGGAACCCGGAAGGGAAGCGGCGAGTTGGTCGCCAGTGCAAGGGTGACTTAGAGGAGGTCATGTGAAGAGGAGCTGAAATCATGTGGGCAGACTTGGAGCGGGGTGAAAAAGTTGGCAGAAAACAGAAGGCAGTAGAGATGCGCAGCTGAAGCCCTATATTCCTCTAGGAATTAAAGGATGTAATAATAATAATAAATCTCCTAAATGCACCAGTTTCAATGAACTAATTTTGCTAGTCTTATAGCAGCAGTCTTCAAAGATAAACACATAAAATTGCTAGTATGTGACTGACTGGCTGAATGAATTGCATACACACCCTCCCTCCAAATATCAATGACTCATCTATCATCCGTTAAGCCTCAAGTGTGCGGAAGGTTTCCTCGAACCTAGAAATCAATACAAAAAACATTCTAGTACCACTTCAATGAATAATCTTAGAAATATTTCACAATCAACCTCCATACAATTTCTTTAACCGTTTTTTATTCATGAAAGTGAGACAGTCTCTTGGTTCAATATCTGACAAAACAGTTTAAGCACACCGACTTGCTGGTCATTAGAGTGGCGTAGGCGGTTGGCGGTGGTTACCAATAAGCATAAAATCTTAAGCTCAGAACTCCTAGTCTGTCGTCTACAAAGCATATAGCATACTTACAGACACTGATCGCCAACTGATTAAGTGCGATTTGGGCAGCCTGCATGCTATCGCACAGTAAGACGATATCGTCTGCATACTCGAGGTCGAAAAGTCTATCTTCAAGTAGCAGATCTACACCACCTTCACGCACATCCTTCAGAGCTGACTCCAGAATATCATCGATGGCAAAGTTAAAGAGAAATGAAGAGATTGGGCAACCCTGTCTAACCCCACTGTTGGTTGGGAACAGTGATGATAGTTGGTTGTATGCCCTCACTTTACCTGAGGTGTTTCTGTATAGGGCTTTCAAGATGTTAACAAATTTCACAATGAATCAATGAAGCAACAAACAATCAATGAAACTTATCGCGTGCTATTACACAGATGGGAAATAAGATGTTTTTTACAGTAAAATAAATAAATAACTTGTTATAATGTGAATTGCATACATTTTAACATTATTTATTATCCTCCTCTGATTTGACTGGCAGTAATAATATCTTCCATACATATCTCTGGTATTTGCATTAAGTCATTTCTATGACATGTGTTGAGTGTTGAGATTCAATGAACCAAGATTCAGTAATTAGCTACCTTCCTCTGTCTCCATCTATCTATCTATCTATATAACTATTTAGAATTCTAACTATTACCCACCTACCCTACCTATTGTGTTTTTTTTAAATTTTAGATACGGTATCGCTCGTGTAAATCAATATTTTGCTATGAAAAAGTTGTTACGCACCTCTGAGAATCATAAATCCTCCAATCCAATGTAATATTGAACACCTTGAAAATCGGTGAAATTTCCTTTGCTTTAAATCTGTTGATATAATATATAAATATATACATGTATGCATGCATACATGGGTTGTGAGAGGGTATTCATTTTATTTTATTTTTCGCCTTCTTCTATTGTATTGTATTGTGCAAAATATTCAAAATTTTTATTATGCGTTTTTCGGTCTGGAGTGTGTACAAGTGATAATAAGACAACCTGTGATTGTTTTGTTAATTAATTCTTTCAATCATTCATATTCATGTACTCTCTCTCTCTCTCTCTGCCCCTTCTACTTTTTAATTTATTATTATTGTCAAAATCAGAGGAAAATACAAACATTTTTTTATTATATATATAATAAACTCTCTAATTATTATAACAGAGGTTTTTGTATTTCCCACTCAATGAATGAAAAACAAAACGATATCTACGTTTTTACTGACGTTTCGCTATTTAATGCTGCTTCTAATAGCCTTATCAAAGTATTATTATTAAACCGGAATTTACAAAATCCACTCAGCTTATATATAACAAAAGTTAAGAGGTGAGAAAATAAACTACTTAGGTCAAGTTAAATGGACATATTGAAAGTCAAAATAACAATGATGATCACTAAAACCAAATATCAAAGGTAATTGTACATCTGTTATGATATCAAAACAAAGTTTACTAAACAGAAAGATTGGGCGAAGAAATATTTACTTTTCAATTAGATCCTCATCTCTGGCTCTACTCTAATAACTATAGCATTTTTATTACAACACACAACAGTTTGCCAATCAAGTGGCGATAAGTTTGTTAACAATAATTAAACAGTGTCAAAATGTCAATGGGTTAATAGTTAACGAAGAAAATCAATACAGATTTAAAAGGTAGAAATGGATAAAATAAATTATTTTACAAGGATGACACGTAAATTAAAGATGAAGTGGTCAAAATAAATAATTTAGACAAATATAATTTTTATAGGTTTAGGTGCAGGGGGCGACGCAGTCCTGTTTATCCATTCTTGTGACGATGGCCACGGTAGGGAAAGTGGCTGTACAAATTAACCTGGCTCATAGAGCTAGGTTAATCTGTTCAGACGACTTCCTCAATGAGGAGCTTAAGATTATTAGAGAATTACTTAGAAAAAATGGCTATCCAGATAAATTCATTGAGAAAAATATGAATTCAGCTCCAAGAAGAGTCAGTATGGCCACAGTCCCGAAAAAACCAATGTTCATAAAATTACAGTTCCTCGGTGGCAAAATCAGCGAAATAATAACACCGCCTGAAGAATGCAGTTAAAAGAACTTATTATGCAGCAGAAATACGTTGTCTCTTTACAACCACACCTATTTTATGTTCGAAAATAAGGATAAACTACCCAAATTCGCCTCCCCTATGTGTATCTACCAGTTTGATTGCAGCTGCGGAGCCAGCTACATTGGGCGTAAAATTAGACAAGTTCATCGTCGTATTTCCGAACATCATCCAACGTGGTTAAGTAAGGGACAAAAAAGATCTATTCGTAGCTCTATTTTAGCCCACCTTGTTGATACTGAGCATAAGATTGATGTGAATACAGCATTTAAAATTATTTATCGCATTCCGACTTATCTTAATTTTGCTCTGCGAGTTCATCTTCTACAGACGGCTGAAGCTAAAGGAATCCACCTGTAGAAACCAAACCTGTGTGTTCAAAACAAATTTGTGCAGCCACTTTCCCTTCCTTGGCCATCGTTACATGAATGTATAAACCGGACTACTTCGCCCCCTACTACTAAACATTTAAAAATTATAATTTTCCAAATTATTTAGGTATTGGTTTTGTTTGATTGCATGGAGGATTTCATCATTGGAAGCTGTGACCAGTAGGGTACAGCAGGTTGAAGATGATGCAGTAACTCATCGTAGAAGACATTGTGAAATGGTCGCGCTATGTCGTGAATTGGCAAAAGTTAGAATTCAAGGACCATTAGATCGGGTCCCAGTGGTTCAATGGTCAACAAACTTGCTGGCCTTGTAACCAGAAGGTCCTGGGTTCGAACCCCGGCGGGTGTATACTGTTGAAGAGTCTCAAACTAGGACGAAACAGCTGTCCAGTGGCTTTCTAACTGATGTCAGCTTATGGTGAAATGCTCCATACAATCAAGTTATTTTTGAACTTTATTTCTGCCCACAAAACATCTATCTGTTCAGCTCTGCTGTCCTTCTTTTTCCAAGCTTAGTCATGTAGTTCTTCTGTAAATATAATCGATCCTTTTCACTCTTAATTATTCAACAACTTACATTATTCCTGACCAGTGTTACTCTCCGTTCCAATCAGTTAATCATTATCATTGCAAAAAGGAAGTATGTTCGGATCTCTAATTTAATTTCATTGATAATTTTGAAATTGTTCAGGTTGTATTCAACCAGTTGAGAAGAATCCACGAAATAATAAAAAAAATAAAAACAAGAGCTCAGATTATCCCGGTACATTCTTTGTCGTTCTTTGCTATATTCAAATTTATTAATGAGAAGAATTGTATAAGTTTCAAAATCGCTTAAACAGAGTAACAAGTGTTACTTTTATGTGGAGCTCATAGTTACCAAATCGGTAGAAACGAAGCTTCTACTGTGATGAGAGCGGGCTGTTAGCCAAAATTGGTGGACAGTAATTTACGTCAATGTTTGTTTATGTCCCCAATATTGGTCGTGAGAAAAATGAGAACACAGGCAGACTTTACGTAGGCGGATATAGTTAACATAGAGATGATCTGACATTCAAGAAACAGCCAAAAAGAGATACAAGGTTAACTTTCTGTGAGAGGCAATCACCAATCAGAAGACTGTGGTGTTTTTTCTGCTAACAATGATCTATAATAATGTACATGAAAATCTAAAAATATGTGTGGATTTCCCCTTAATAAACGATCTGTTGCCTGGCTGGCCCTTGTCTTCTATTGTTACACTACTAAACATTCCTATAAAAATACAAAAGTATCACTATCATCTTTATTACATGTCAAACTTGTGAGACATCTGATTTTAACCGCAGGAATCCCTCAACTTACATACAGGACTTAATAGATATCCTCACTAATATAAGTGTAGAACTTGGGCACTTTGGTAGTAGAGTGAAATTCCATATCTAGATAAGTTTTTATTTAAATATCACACACACAGTGTGTGATGCAGTATTAACGACTGGATGAAAAGGTGGTTTCGAGCATAAATTATTCCTCATTAATTTAGTCCTACAGGTTCATAATTCGCTCTTTATATCTATTTTTCTTTCTCTCCCTCTTCCCTTATTGTTTGCTGTCACTTTCCATATCTCCGGTATAGGCGTTGCGTTATTCCAACTGCATGTGTGCAGAGTTGAATCGATAAAGAAAGCTTCAGTCAGTGATTAATCTCTCTCTCTCCACCTAACTATATTACTTTTTAATACTCTCACTCTCCCCACCCACCCTATTTTCTGATGACTACATGCAAGTGAATGCAATGACTGAGATCTGTTTTCTCTAAGTTATTTAACTTAGCAGGGTCAATTATTTTAGGTTTAGCTAAATTTTTATGTTCCAGTAACCTAGTTGATCCCGATCTACTAGTTTGACCTATGTAATTGACCTCACTCACAGTCATCACATGGTATTTGGTAAATTACATCACTTTTCTTAATTGAATCTATCAGATCCTTAAGCCGATAAATTTGATCTCTGAGAGACTTGGTTGGTTGTTTATTTCAAATACCACTCTAATTCCAGCCTCTGACGTTCATTCTTTACACAGTGTGGTGTTCTACTTATAATAAGATATAAGTAGTATATAAGTAAACGAATTCAGAAAAGTGACAATATGTTTTGGGTGTCACTGGAAAAAGCAATCGAAGAAGAGAACTATCAGAAGAATGTTAGAAACACTCTGCATGATCCAGCAGGCTATCGAATATGGTGATATTCGACCAATTTGCAAGTGACGTGAAAATAAAGACTTAAAGATAAGGCGTACCAAAAATGTATGTACCAACAATGCGTTTCTCTTAATAAGCATGCCTTCCAGACTCATTGGTTATTTCTCCTTTATAACGGCAGTACTCACTTTTCTTCACACTTAGCCTGCCCCGTATGTTGTCCACCTTTCCTACCTATATCTCTAGAATATTTATCATCTTTGTATTTGTAGACAAAACATGTCAATATCTCAATCAATAATTTTGGTATTTTATTGTCTAATCCTCTCTCTCTCTCTATTCGTGTCACTAAAACTTCTCTTAGATTAGTTAAAGTATGTGAAAGTTCTGCATATCCTCCTGATATTGGGAACTGCTTTATCTAGTAACCAGTAAAAAGGAATCTATGAAATAAAATACCAAAACTATTTGATATTATTTTTGAATGTTCACAGACCATTATTGATTTTACTGGATCGCATAACGTCTGGTCTCCACTTGTGGTGAGAGCAGGCCACTAGCCAAATTGGTAGACATTAATTTACGTCAATGTTTATGTCCCAAATATTGGTCGTGAGAAATTATGAACAAAGACTCATTTAACAACGGACCACAGTAGACTTTGCGTAGGCGGATACAGTTAACATATAGATGATCTGACATTCAAGAAACAGCCAAAAAGAGATGCAAGGTTAACTTTCTGTGAGAAACAACCAATCAGAGGTGTGTTTGTTTGCTTGAATAAGCCATAATAATGTACATGAAAATATATAAATACGTGTTGATTTCCTTAATAAATGATCTGTTGCCTGGCTGGCCCTTGTTTCTGTTGTTACAATAGGAGGCTACAAAGAGTAAGTGCATCTGGGCTACTACGGAGGATTTTGAGCCGTGACACTAACAGTTTGAAGCCAATGGTTGGTGGAGTCTTGAGGAAACTAAAAAGGCAGTCTACTCTTTCCTACATGTCTGTTAAAGACTTCATGGTTTGATGCTAGGTTATGATTTGATCATTCTGCGCTCCAACCTCTTATATCAGACAACATTGTTCGTCTAGAAAGTATGAAGTATATATAAATACGTGTTGCCTGGCTGGCTGGCGCTTGTCTTCTGTTGTTACACACTGACATGTCGGTTCCGATTAAGAGCGCTTCGACGATGCCTTACGGTTAGCATTATGCTACTGTGTCCATACTGGTGACCTCCTTGAATCACTAAGCTATCTGAATTCTTTTCCAACGCGCACACACACACACAATACATCATATTTCGCCAAATTCTTGTTTTAACAGTTCAATAATGTTTTCGAGTGGCAAAATGTACTCACACGCACATTTTTAATTGCGCATTTCTCGAAGAGGGAGGAAAAATATCACACGGCATTGAGTAACGTGATGTACTATCAAGTGCTATTTTCCTCGAAGAACCTGGATGGAGAGAAAATATTACGCAATAAATTACTCTGACAATTCTATACATTGCGTAGACATTTCGTCTAGAATAGGGTTCTTATCATTATTATTTGGTTGGTGATAGACTAACAGCAGAATCCCAGATGCACTTTCTCCTGATTTGGGACTCGTCAACTGGATATACCTGCACTCCTAGTGGATAGCGACTTGGCGTTTCAAATGATGCCTGTCTGTTTTCGACATAGAACTTTGCACTGATATGCGGCAGTTCAAGTCGCCACACTCTACGCAGCACACAAAGCCACAGAAGAAAGTGCAAGAAATGCATAATAGAGACAGTAAACAGAGGTGTGTGGCTCGAGCACTCGAGCACTATGGCGTACCCCAAATATTCATCAACCTTATTCAACAGCTGTACGACAACGGCACCTGCCAAGTGATCCACAACGGAAAACTCAGCAAGGCGTTTGGAGTAAACACAGGAGTCAGACAAGGGTGCTTACTATCACCAATGATATTCCTAATTGTGGTGGACTGGATTATGCGTTAGACTGTGGGAAACGAGAAGACAGGAATATCCTGGACCGATGTGAAGAACCTAGAAGACCTGGGTTTCGCGCGTGGATGATTTATGTTTGATGTCACACATAATCGAAGACTTACAAGTGAGCGAAAACCGACCGACAAACTGGTCGAAGAAGCAGCAAAGACAGGACTCCAGGTAAACACAGACAAGACGGAGGTTATGAAAATAACCAACCAACAACAGCAACAACATCCAACGTCAATCATCATCAACGGGAGGGATTTGAAAGAGGTTACTTCATTCACTTACCTAGGGAGCATTGTCTCAACTACAGGAGGAGAGAACGAGGATGTCAAGTCGAGCGAGAATCGGGAAGGCGAGAAACACATTCATCAGCCTAAAATCAATCTGGAAATCTTCGTCACTCAGGCAGCATCAACAACAAAATTCGGTCGGATTTTCAATACAAACGTCAAGTAAGTCAGTTCTTCTATACGGATCAGAAACTTGGCGGGTCACAAAGAATATTTCCAAAAGGCTGCAGACCTTTATTAACAGCTGTCTTCGCTCAATACTGAAGATCAGATGGCCGGAAAGAATCACAAACAACGAATTATGGGAACAAACAAAGCAAGAAGCAATCGCCAACCAACAAATATGCAGGAGAAAGTGGAGATGGATCGGACACTCGCTGAGGAGACCGCTGGGTGACATCGCACGTCAAGCCCTCGAGTGGAACTGATATGTATCCACATATATATATTTATGTGTGTGTGTGCATGTTGGTCTCTCTTTCTGTTTGCTCGGTTAGTCTGTGACCACTTCACTTGTATGGACTTGTCTCCTTTAATAATGTGTATTCTCCTTATATTATATTATATATAATATGAGTGTTTGTTGACAGTCCGTTGCTTGGTGACATATATCCATATATGTTGTTGGCATGTCTGCTATATTCGCTATGTATAATTGGATCGACACTCCATTATAATTAGCCATTCATGTTAAGACTGTCTAATGATTTTTCCCACGCTTGTCTGAATTATTTATATATATTCGCATTCACAATTTGTGTGAACTACTTTACTTTACAACTACTTGACTTGCTTACCACTTTGGTGTGAGACCATTTATTTTCGTCTCCTTGTGTTTGGACAATAGAAGTATCATCGCAAACCTAGTGGTCTTCTGATTTCCGCCTTCTCGCGTCAGGACTATTAGTTTCTCGACCAGTCCATAACAATAATTCAGCGACGAGTACATAACAATTTGGCGACGGGGAAACCAGAACATAAGAGGAACCCGAAAGGGAAGCGGCGTGTGGGACGTCCAAGGGTGACATGGAGGAGATCGTGTGAAGAGGAGTTGAAAGAATATGGATTAACATGGATGCAGGCGAAAAGTATAGCAGAAGACAGAAGAAAATGGAGACGTGCAGTTGAAGCCCTATGTTCCACTAGGAACCCAAGGGAACAATAATAATAATAAACAGAGGTGTGAGACAAAGGAATAGTAGTAACGAAGAACAATATAGTTTCATTGGAAATCATAAGTCACAAGGAGTGGATGCATCTGCGCCAACCATCACTGAGAACGATTTTGAGCCATATCACCAATTGTTTCGAACCATTGGTCTTTACCGTCCCGGGGACCCCAACCAGTCAGGAAGTCTACAACTTCCTAATTGACTAGCTGGCTTAAACTAACTGTTGTGGATTTCATTGACTGGTGAGGCCATGTTTTGGTTTGACCGCCGCTAGCTGTTTTCCAGCCTGACTCTATGTCAGCTAACATCGCCCATTGTCGAGGAAGGCGATCACTAGGCATACGTAACACATGTCCTAACCATCTCAGTCTATGTAACTTCACAACCACGTCGATTTATTTCACCTTCTTACCTAGCACTCGACCGATGCCTAACCTCAATATTGCTCACCCTATTATACCATTTTACACGGGAGATAGAGCCCGGGCACTTATGGTCAAAGACAATTAGCCGGCCTTTTCATGTCTTCCACTCTCAATGACCAGGTCTCACAGCCATAAAGGAGGACGGAGCGGACTGATGAGCAGTACACACGTCCATCGGTCGACAGACAGCCGGATATCACGTCTACGCCAGAGCCGGCGTAAACTGGCACATGCGAAACTAACCCTCTGTATCCGTGCTGAGATTTCATCAGAGATCAACCCCTTGGCGTTGGCTGGTGGTACTTCTCAAATAAGTGAAGTGTCAACGTGCTCCACCACTTCTAATCTAGGAATCGGTGTAGTCCAGTCAGTCCTGTAACATCATCTTACATTTGGCGGGAGCGAATCGCATGCCAAACATTCGTAGATTGCTTCTCCTCAAGGTGTTCAGAAAGAAGACTGCTCTATTTTTCCAGCGTCCTCGCCTAGAAGGACTATATCGTCGTCTGCATATTCTAAGTCGACGAGATTATTCCCGGTGGTAGCAAGTGAATCCCCGAGTCGCTGAAATCACTTAGGGTTAAGTCCATTAGTAGAATATTGGTCATATATTAGCGTATACATACATACATACATGTAAATATATAAAGATAGATTACGTCAAATTAGTCTATGGTACACATACACAAAGGGAGAGAGAGAATATGCAGGAGAAGTCGAAATGAAGATATATATATATATATATAAATGTGGAGGATAAATGTCGATGTATACAAAGAAAAGCAAAACAGATATGTACAAAAGTATGCACAAAGTCAACAAATCAATATTATTGCATAATTGTATACACAACACACAAAAAATGCTACTCTATATGTTACTCCTGTGTATGTTTTCGCCTTTTATGTTTGTGCTTCTTCTCCCCACTTGACTGAACATTAATTATAGTACAATCATCTTGAGCAGACACACTGTTCAACACAGAATCATCATCTTCTTCTTCTTCTTCTATTATGGATGAATGATCTCGTTTTGTCGATGGTACACTACTTTGAACTGGTTTAACAGTAAATGAAACAGTTGGTGAAATAGCGACAAGATTTCTTTTAGGCAAACCGACAGGACATCGATACTCTTCGACAATATGTTGCGGCGGCGGCGGTGATGACAATGAATCAATATCTACATCATAATCGATGGATGCAGTGTCTTTTCCATTGATACCACTCAATCTTTCTTGTAGAGCAGTGCCGATATCAATATCTTTGCCTTTATTAATACGTGATAATACTTTGTTTATAGCGCTATCGATTGTAGACATACTATTGGCATTTGTATTTGTATCGCCAGATGCTTTCACTGAAATGTATCGAGAGAAATGGTGAAACTATTGTTGCATCTCAAATAAATGTTATAAATAAATAAATTGATTAATTAAATTAATTAGTCAATTAATTAAAAAGTGAGAATTTAAAAGGTGTCACTTTCTTATGATACTAACTTATATATCTCTCGAAAAATATCCATTTTATTCATAAGTAAAAACACAGTTTTTCTTTTTGTTCAGCAAAGAAACGTGTTTCTTCTCAATGACTTCATTTTCAAGCTGTACAGTATAGTCGTATTTATATTACAGAAAAAGGTTACTAACTGCCACTAAATAATTGCTCAGTCAATATACATGTAATAATAACCAACCAACAGCAGCAACATCCAGCGTCAATCACAATCAACGGGAGGGATTTGAAAGAGGTTAATTCATTCACTTCATTATCTAGGGAGCATTGTCTCAACTACGGGAAGTCGGTATGGACGAGGATGTCAAATCGAGCGAGAATCGGGAAGGCGAGAAACACATTCATCAGCCTGAAATCAATCTGGAAATCTTCGTCACTCAGCATCACCAGCACAATTCGGATTTTCAATACAAACGTAAAGTCAGTTCTTCTATACGGAGCAGAAACGTGGCGGGCGAGTCACAAAGAATACTTCCAACAGTCTATTGCAGACCTTTATCAGCCAACAACTGTCTTCGCTCTATACTGAAGATCAGATGGCCGGGCCGGAAAGAATCACCAACAAGGAACTATGGGAACAAACAAAGCAAGAACCATTCGCCAACCAACAAATATGCAGGAGAAAGTGGAGATGGATCGGACACCCGCGGCTGAGGAGACCACCGCTGGGTGACATCGCGCGCGCGTCAGGCTATTGCTCGAGTGGAACCCGAAAGGGAAGCGGTGTGTGGGACGTCCAAGGGTTATATGGAGGAGATCGTGTAAAGAGGAATTGAAAGAGTATAGACTAACATGGATGCAGGTGAAAAGTACAGCAGAGGACAGAAGCAAATGGAGAAGTGAAGTTGAAGCCCTATGTTCCACTAGGAACCCAAGGGAGCAGTAATAATAATACTATATATATATATATATATATATATATATATATATATATATACATTAATCCAGTTGCCATCAATGAGCTGGCGACTAAAATTTACGATTACGGGTGCTTTTAGGCGCCTCGATTAATTTCTGTATAGATTCCGTCATAAACCAAAGCCACAATCAGACAGCATCGGAAAATAATCTTCCCAAACCTTAGGACAAAAAAACTGTCCAGTGCTCTCCGGTTTTCAATGACAAAATAATCAACACTGAAATTTCAGCATAAACTTTTTCCATTATAATAACTGAAGAAAAGAACAAACAAGAGATGACATTTTTGACTGAACACTAGTCAGTAATTAATGTAATGTGTCTAGTCCTATCTTCGGTGGCCACGATGCTAACTGGCTTGTTATCACAGCGCACTGTGAGTTGTCAGTATTTGATGGTTGGAGGCAATCGGTAGGAAGCCTTGGACATAGGTCTCGAGCTGCTTGGCATTCCTCAGCAAGGCGTATCACAGTGCACTGTGATTGCGAGCCACCAAGCATGGTGGCCACATTGCAAGTTTGACTGATAGAATTCAGTCTGCACTTAAGATAGGACTAGACACATTACACTAGTTACTGACTAGGATCCAGTCAAAAATATCCAATACAGTCCTACAAGAGGTCGATTGCAAGCCTGAATAGCTCAATGGTAACGTCTCTGACTGCAGGTGGTACTGCATGACGCGGGTTCAAATCTCAGAAGGGACATGAGTTCCTTCAAGGCAGTTGCAGATACGCCTTGCTGACTGGTGAGTGCCAACTAGCACAAAACCTAGGTCGAGCAAGGCTTCCTGTGGTCAATTGCCTCTACCCGACTAATACCAAGAGATGACATTATACAAGGTTACTCAAAAAGCCAACTGGATTGCCAGGCACACATTCAGTAATGTGCTCCACTTGACGTGTGCGCAAGCTAGCGATACTGCGATACTACCTTACTGTCCAAATCATCATGGTAGGTAGACGGCAGGAGTTAGTAATCGAGCATATAACCCTATGAGATACACAACTGCACCGAATTCACACAACAGATTAATAAACCAGACCTCGGATTAGTGTTACTAAGAGAGTCACATTTATTGTGTGATCTGATCGTGAAGTGTGTGAGATGGGACATTCGTATATGGGACCGCTCGGTCTGAATGTGAAGTACCAATACCATAGCTATATATAATCAATGAAACTGTACATTGTTTGTCAATGGAGAAAACTAAGATGCTAAAGTGATACAACTGTAAGAGATAAAAATTATACCTGTTGTCGATGATTCAGTTGCCTTATTCTTTGGTTTCGCTTTTGATTCAGTTATCTGATTGTTCGATTGATTTCCAGGGAAATGTACAGATGACGATTTATTAGGCGTTGACTTTGACTGGTTACCACCACTAGCAGCAGCAGCAGCAGTAGCAGCAGCTGGTGTACCAGGAGTTTTTGGTTTATTTGCAGGTGTAGGTCTTGGAGTTGGTGTTGACTTTGGCGCAGGGGTTGCATTGGGTGCATTTGGAGCAGTTGCCGTAGAAGTAGTAGTAATAGTAGCAGCGGTAGTGGTGGTAGTTTTAGCTGCTGCGGGAGTTTCTGATTTCCGTGGACGAGGTCGTGATGGCTTAGGATTCTGTGGTAGACTTTCCAGTAATTTTGTTAACTGTGATCCAAAATTGTCAATTTTATCATTCAAACTTTTAATAGTATTCTCCAGACAAAGTTCTAATTTATCTTGAAATAAATAAGATTTGAGATAATTTCAGGATAATTATAACAGTGAAACGCAAAAAATTTACTCTATCTCAAAATAAAATAGACGCAGATGTCTTTCAGATGTCTTTTGTAACCAAAGTGATAAACCACTTTTTAGCAAGCAAATGTAATGCAAGTAATCCACAACGGGAAATTCACGGAATCCTTCGAAGAAATGAAGACCGGTGTGAGATAAGGCTGGCTGGCTGCCTACTATCTCCAACGATTTTCCTGATTGCGGGCAATAGACTGGATAATGAGACAGACAGTGGGCCGGGCAGCGAGGAAACAGGCATAAAATAGACCCATACAAAAAACTTGGAGGATCTGGACTTTGCCGATGTGATATATGTCTGATTTTTCACAAACTGGAAGATACACAAGTGAAAACCAACAAGTTGGCAAGAGTAGCATCCAGAGAAGATAGGACTTCCTTCAGGTGAACATAGAGAAAACAGAGGCGATGAAGATTCTTGGCCAACAGCAACAACAGGCAACAATCGGAATAAATGGGAGAAATCTAATAGAAGCAACCTCCTTCACATACCCACTTATTGACCTGGGAAGCATCCTTTCAACTACATGCGGACGGAAATGATGAGGATAACAAAGTGAGGATAGGGAAAGCAAGGCAAGCTTTCATTACCCACATCAAGTCAGTGTAGTGATCAACAGTATTCAGCCTGAAAATGAAAATAAGATCCGGATTTTCAACTTCAATGTGAAGTCAGTGCTACTTACTATACGGATCAGAGACTTAGCGCATCATGAAGAGCACCTCAAACAAACTACAGACCTTCATCAACAGTTGTCTCCGCTCAATACCCAAGATCAAATAGCCAGAAGAGATCAGCAACAGAGATCTCTAGGAGCGAACCAACCAGGGACTAATTGTGCACAACAAATATGCAGGAAGAAATGGAGGTGGATTGGCCATACTCTGAGAAAACAAACCATCAAGTGAGTGACATAGCACTCCAGACCATCACTCGAGTGGAACCTAGATTAGAAGTGGCGAGTTGGTCGTCAGTCCGAGTGTGCCATGGAGAAGCCCATGCGAAGAGGAGATGAAAGCATGTGGACAGACTTGGAGCCAGGTGAAAACGTCGACGAAGAACTGAACGCAGTGGAGACGTGCGGCTGTAGATCTATGTTCCTCTAAGAACTAAATGAAGCAATAATAATACAATAAGAGCTAGCAAATGATTACTGATAAACAATTAGTGTTTAAAGCAATTAGAGTTCCCTTTATGAATTTCGACAACAACACAATAAAAAGACTTAGTTTTTCTGATTAAAATGTATAATGTGGTGTGTATTTGCGCAACACATTTCGGAAATTCTGATCACACACACACAAACACGAGTACTTGTCATAGTTTTATAGAAGGCAAGAAGATATGAATCATTACCGGTCAAATTATATACCGGTCAAGGTCACAAATAATGACTAGGGAGATGACGCCTCCCATTGTATCACGACCTTCGCTGCCATTGGTGACATCATGATAGCCACGCCCTCGGTATGCTCGTGGTTGTCTTCTCAGTGACCGGAGTAGATCACTGACTCTCCCATTGAAAATTTGGTGAGTCCAATCCCATTCCATCTGCTTTCACATATTCCGAGTACCTCAATGCCATATCTCTTCATCTCAATTGCAATCTGGGCAGCTTTGCAAATCTCATACATAGTGCGAAAACCCCATGTCCCCACGCCTACTGTTTCTCTCGTCGCAAGGAAACTCATCGTACTGAGGTTTCCATAGCAGTTTTCTTTACACGGTGAGGTTGCTAGCCTCACACCCGAGAAGGGAATTGTTACATAGAGATGTAAGTTGCAGAGGGATGACTTTTTAGGCGGCTCCCTTTAGAATCAGGAAAATAAGGAGTAAAGCAATCGGAACAACAAAAATGACAACAGGAAAAACAGTGACAACAACAACGAAAATCGTAACAAAAATAACACTGCTGGATGCAATTACCATAAATAACACGTAAACCAGAGACTCACTTAGTTAGGCCGACATGCAATAAACCACAAGAGTAAAACCGTAAAGGTTATTGAAATGTAAGTATTCAAAATCACAGCAGGCGATTCAGCAAAGAGACTCTTTTCAGCGAATGTGTTATCAAGCCGTACAATCGTATGTATGAGGTTTTCAAGTAATTATATCCGGTGCGGGAATTGAATCATAGATGTGAATGCATAAAGTAATAATAATGGCGGTATGAAGTGCAATTAAAACGTTTGTGATTATAATCATGTGTAATCTTGATGCTGTGGAAGAAGAGTTAAATCTACTACGAAAACTCATACAAAATAGATTTTCTTTAAGTCTTATAGGCAAGAACATACAGTCAAAACCTATGAAATGTAACTTAACATTCGTAACCAAGAAAACCCTGTACATGAACTTAGAATTCAAAGATGACAAAGCTGCTGACATCCTTAAAAGAAGGACCTCACCGTCTCTGAAAATGACATTCCCTACAGCACTGTTAAGAATAGCGTTTACCAGTCGAAAATTACTGTTCAATAACCAAAAGGACAAGACCCCGTAGTTGAACAACTCTATGCACGTTTACAAATTCACCTGCTGCTATAGAGCTAAGTAATATCGGTCATTCGACCTAGGTTTTGTTCAAGAGGATGAAATAACACTAGCCAGTGTAGCTAAGAAGAGGTGGAAGCGCAATCATTGAACGTCTGGTCTATACAGATCATCCTATCTCTACCTCTACAAGCCTGTTCCTTTATAGTTATCTACAAGAGGAAAAGACTTGCCCAAGTCATCACGTATCCAACTCATCTGTACTGCTGGAGCTTTGGTTATCGAAATAGTGAAGCCAGATCGCTGAATGCAGAAAAGGTTTGTTCAACTCCTCCAATTCTCATAGTCTTAATCCATCTATGCTAAAGTTAGTATGATAAACCCTATCCATGATTTGGCTCTACTTATTTTTCGTTTCATTTATTCGATTGTTACTATTATTATTTTCACTTTGAACTGTTTCCGGGATTATTTTATTTGTCCCACTTTTCATTCTTAATCGAAAATGTTTTTTGCGATGTTAAATCTTATGTTGCCAAATTTTACACCACGTTATGCAATGCCTTTATTTGCTTGCTAATTTTACACACACACACCCTTCTAACATTCATGCATCCTATGAATTTTCCTACACATGACATTTGTTTTGCCACTCGACATTTAACTATGATGACAGTCACGAATAATTTAATCGCATTTCATACTGCTATTATTATTTTATGTATTCACAACCTTTGTTAAATTTCTTCACGGAAATATAACTTCTTTAGAAAACCATTATATATATGCGATTGTACAGCTAGATAATAGATTCGTTGTTGAAAAGAGTCTCTTCGCTGAGTCATTCGTTTTGGTGCTTTACATGTCCCAATGGAAATTTTCCACGAATTAAAAATGTGGTATAACCAACCAATACATAATGACCCGTACAGTATCGTCTATTGCACGTAATAGTAGGTATTCAGTTGCATAACACACAAGTAGAATTGTAGCAAAACGTTTGCTACTCACAAAAATACTGTTTGAATGTAACTCATCAACTGATGTACTACTCAACTGTCAGTTAACAGATCTAAGGTTCAAAATCTTAATCTGTCTACTTCAGCTTGGATAACTGGGCGGGGTATCATCAATCTTCATAGAATAAATCTGAATCACAGAGAGAGGTGCACGGAGAAATCGACTCCGAGTAACTACCAACTTTTAACAACAATCAGTCACAGTGGATGTTAATGTTTCACATTGTAGCAGACTGTGTGCAGTTGTGCATCAGTGGTCTAAGCGCTAGACTCCCAACCAAGTGAGTCACGAGATATTTTCTCAACATTTCTTGATAAAGACACAAGCACTCATGCTATAGTATATCATCGCGAAAGAATTACACACTAGCATGCTGAAAATATGATGACATTTAAAAGTACCATTTCGCGTAGTTTATTTTCTGATTAGTGAATTATACTACTGAAAAGCATACATAAGTAGCTGGAAACTACATTTAGCTAGCTGTATCAGTGATTTATACGCGTAGTAAACCGTCTCATCTGACGTTGAGCTCACTAGCAATTTTATCACAGCTGAATCCAGTTGGTTGACAAAAAATCTAAATCTGTATAGTTTCGATTTGTGTAAAGCTTATGTGAAACATTCTATTCACCAAAACGAATAGTTATTTATTTATTATCTTCAAGATAAAGCTTTGAAGTTCCAATAGCAGTGATATTATTCTTTTTTCACGGGGCAGGACTGCTAGTCTTACACCCAACCTTCCCTCTTCACTGGTCTTAGTACCAGTACAGGAGTGCATTGGCCGAGGATTGAACTCCGGACCAAGTGTGGCGTGGTTGGCCAGCGGCCTACCGCTGAACCACCGATGCACGAACAGAACAGTAGTGAATTCAATCAAAATTTGATATCACCTCGCATAGAGAATACACAACAGATCAAAAATCTGACAATAAATCCAATAGAATTATTGATCAAAAAGGAAAATGCACACTCACCGTTTGTTTCATTACTTTGATCCTTTACTTTTTCAGTGTCCTCTTTTGTCTCCACCTTTTCGGGTCTAAAAGTTTAGAATTATAGAAAATATTAGGATGCATGCTAATGTGTGGAAGGAATTCTTTCCTTAAAAATCACGATGAATTAAAAATTCTTTATAACAGCGGGGAAATGAAATCACATTTCGATTCACATAATTCACTCAAAGGAGAAGCCTAGTCACGTGATGCCTGACCGAAAGCTGCTACCTTGACGTGGCGGGCCGGCTTGAACACCGCGATGTCCCAACAACCTATACTGGCTGAGACTTATGTCTCTTAAGGTCCTACCATGCCAGAAAGGTTGTTTGGATAGCGGTTAGATAAAAAGCAGCTACCCAATCCAATATTATGATTCAAACAAATTCACAAAATATCATGCCGGATCGGTCGGGGCCCGGAATAACAACGACAGCGCTTCCTGCTCCCGTGTCACAGGGCAGAAGTGATAAATATGCTACTGAGACACACCAAATAATAAAGAACAAACAAAAACAGGCCGCGTGTGACCGGCCTCAAGCAGTTGTCCCCTGGGCTCTGCGGTCACGCAACCAACTTCCACGGTGTGGGCAGCCGGGAAGTAACAGTCGCCCTCACAATCCGAAATGCACACGAAACCTCTCTAATCCTCACTCATCTTTGTCTTCATCTTCATCTCTACTATCTTGCCTTCCTTCCACTGATGCAACTCCTCGGCTTGATAGCTCTTCAATTCCTCTTCACTCTGTGTCCACTAAAAACGACGGGGGCCAAAAAACCACCACCGATAGTCTCCTAAAGCCACGCCACCAATTTCATTTAGGAGCATTTAATGTTAGGACACTTTGCCAAGTAAGACAACAAGCGTCACTAGCCAAGACTCTGGCGTCCCGAGCCATCGACGTATGCTGTGTTTCAGTAACACGCATACGAGACCCAAGTGTGGTTATTCACCTAACCCCACCTGTCCAACAGGGTGAATCTGAAAAATTCACCTTGAAGAGATGCCATAGCTAGTTCACGAGGATTAGCTGGTGTAGGGATAGCTTTGAGTACTAGGGTAAAAACCAATGGTTGGAAACAATTGGTGACATGGCTCAAAGTGATCGTTCTCAATGGCCAGCGCAGATGCATCTACTCTTTGTGACTTATGATTTCCAATGAAACTACATTGGTCTTCGTTACTACTATTCCTTTGTCTCACACCTCTGTTTACTGTCTCTATTATACATTTCTTCAACTTTCTTTTCTTGGTGTGTGTGTGCTTCAAGGAGGGAGTGTGGCGACTTGAACTGCTGCACATCGGTGCAAAGTTCTATGTTGAAAACAGACACAGACAGACAGTCACATGATGATAAGTAGAATGTATGATGTGAATTGTTGTTAAGCGTATCTCCACATGAATGCCTAATCAGTAAGTTGGTCAACGACAGAAAACCAAGGCTGTAACTCATAGTTAATATATGGAGGTGAACCCTTCACAGTGCAAGGAATAATAATAGTTAAATCGTTAAAATCAAATACACTCGAGTTATGCATAGCTCAGATCCTCAAAGATAAATTCATGCACTATGGTTATTGTTTAAATCGCAATAAAGCAGTTTGTTACCCAATATCCAATTTTCTATTGTACAGCTTGATGAATTTCGAATGTAGAGTAAAAACAGTACACTCACCCTACACTCTACAGATTTACGACCGCGAGCTTATACCACTTACATTACTTGCTGAGCCTAACATATCCTTTTCAACGGCTTAAATCGACATAATAAAGTTGTTGGGTCGATTAGTTGATGTTATTCAATCATGTTATCCAATCAGTCTTCGTTAGATATGCAAAGTGTCACCGATGAGGAAAGTAGAATTTGAATTACTACTTTGCAAATCTTTAGGATTTTTTTACGCAGGTGAAGGAAAAATATTTCAAAAAAAACTGAGAAGTTAATGTAATTAATAAATGGACTCACTCGTTTGCTTTACGAACGGAGAAACGCAGAAAAGGAAGCCTATAAATTTCATTGCCGCCAGTAGAATCAGGAAGCCGTGCAAACAGTATATTTGAACTCTCTTCTTGACTGGTTCCAACGAATAAGTAGTCGGAATTTTCTTCATTACCATCATTTGATATCTTAGGCAATTGCTTTTGAACAGAAATTTCTCCCTTTTCCAGTTTTTTAAGCATTCGCTTTAAAATTTTTGCAAACGCTTGATTTTCCAAGTTCAAAAGAGGAATAGCCTCCCGACAGTCTGGAGGAACGTCTACATAAGCAAGTAGTGCTTCCATTGTTACGTTTTAGAAGACTTGTGTTGCGTGCTAACTACCAAAAAAAACGAAGAAAGTTTTGATTACAAGCATTATATGTATATATATATATATATATATATATAATATATATATATATATAATATAGAATATTAAATCCTAAGAAGATTGGATATTTCGATACGACAAATGTTCCTCAACATTCAAATGTTTAATCTACTTGTCCCAGTACATTTCGTTTATCCTTCCAATTCCAGTGTTGTACAGAGTTTAACCAGAAACTTGGGTTTATAACACATTTGACAAAATGTATATGCTCAAGTAACAGTTTTTACACTAGTGTGAATATTCACCCTTTGTCTGATAAGAGAATCCAGATTTTAAATAACCCGAAGAGAAAACACACGTTTTAGGGACGAAAGATACAACTTCGCACGGAAATTCCAACAAGAGATGCCGCACTACCAAACTTGCAAGAAAACAACATAAGCTGATATTAAGGGGAGCAGAATGGAGATTGACGAGAGTTCTCAACCTATGAGCGGTACAGAGCACAGCCATAATGGCAAGGATATTTAGACAATTTCATTTCAGCAATTAGACAAACAAGCTTGAATAGAACTTCCAGAAGTGTAATACTGTCACAACGTCGGGACTGAAGCATATGAGTGTTTTGGAAAGGTAAACTAGCCTCAGGATGGTCGGGGGTGGGTGCCTTGCGCTGCGGGTTGGCCACCCCTCCGCACACCTCTTGAAATGCTCCCATATGACCGGGCGTCTTACATAGCCTCTCCTGAGGAAGTCCTACTCACTGCCTTCACGTGGCGGAGGTGTTTCTCACCAAAGTGAGAGGGCGAAAGCGGATGCCCGGCGCTCTCCACCGGGTTGACTGTCCATTGGATGACGGTCTAGGGGAGATGGCTAAACCCTGATTCCAAACCTCCAACGACTGGCGTATGAAGCTCACTGGAGCTCACCGGCAGACGTATGGACAAAGGGCTTGTTGGATGTCCTGGATGTCTGGCCCCATTCAAAAAGGCGTATGAACCGAACTCCGGTCACCGGCTGCCAATGGATAATGGACTCCTTACTCCACTCCTACTGCCTTGTAGGTCACACTTGGCTGTGTAAAGGCTAGAGCTGCACTCTCAAACAAAAGGCCGAGCGATGCTGGGGACATTACTCGTACCAAATTCCCATGAAACTTCATGAACTCTCTTACAAATTGCCGCGCCTGGGCAGCGATGATTCGAGACGTTCATGAAGCCGGCTCATCCTCCCGTAGGAGATAGCCGAAGTAAAGTAAAGTAAGTAACTAGAAAGCAGCAGAGAGAAGACAGCTATTTTAATGCGTAGTACTCACCAAACACCTGGACAGTAGTGCCTTTGACAATGGAGACAGGCAGTCGGACTTTGTGGTTACTGAGGCCCAAAACAGGGACGGTAAAAATCTATGGTTGGAAACAATTGGTGACATGGCTCAAAATCGTTCTCAGTGGCGCAGATGCATCCACTCCTTGTGACTTATATCCAATGAAACTGTTTTGTTTTTCCTTATTACTCCTTTGTCTCACACCTCTACTCACTGTTTCTATTATGCTTTTCTTGTACTTTCTTCTCTTGCTTCGCGTGCTACACGGAGTGTGGCGACTTGAACTTCCGCACATTTATGCAAAGTTCTATGTCGAAAACAGACAGAAAACAGGCTTTAACACCGTGTAATCCTCCAGCATTCTGCAATATATGTACACCAATAGTTTGGAATTGTGACAAGTTGCATGAATTACACTGAGCGACTAAGGCCATGAACAAAATAAGTGTAACCCTGTCCACTTTGAGTTGTGTTTCTCGAATATGTTATTAATGACATTAAATTTCACTAAACTTGCACTTTTGGAGTCTAACTGATAGGCAATACATTCCATGCACTCCAACTGTTGTTACTCAATAGCATTCATTAAAAGAATATTCAAAAAAGTAAAAACTACTTCAACCTCTACTGTTGTTTGGTAAGTTAATGAACACAGACGACAATGCCTTTGCTAAAATATCCCCTCAATTTTGCTGACAGAAACCACATATGCTGGCACAGTTCATTCAGTGATTACGTGCTACCTCTGCACAGTATAAATCGATTTCTACATAAAATTACAATTTCTACAAATACATATACTATTCCATTAACCAAAATTTGGCCGGTTTCACATTCTACAGCAACAGTAAAGAATAGACACCAAAGTCGAATTCACTAGGATCTTTCAAATATATTCTTTCAAGTAAAACGTGGCATTTTACTACTAAATTTGCATTCCTAAGGGTCTGCTAGGCCTGCATTTTCATAAAATAAAAAGATACTGACTATATAAATCAAAGAATCACACAATAGATGAGTGGCGGTTAGTACAACTGCAACTTAAAAGTAAAATTTATAAGTAACGGTGATGTGGAGATAAATACTATGCCATTGTGATTTAACATCACCTCTAAACGAAGCTAAGACCAAAACTAGCAATGTGACCTTTGGTCACGCGGAACCGTTAAAATTGCGCGCGGTTCTCAACAATAGAGTAATAATTCTTTAAACACAGAGAAGCATCAGTTGTCTTAAAAGCGGAGACTCATTTACTTCAAGAGAGAGCATATCAATGATATATGCAACAGTCGGTTGGAATCGCTGTGCAAAAACATCACAGTTGCTGTGAAGTCTATTCAAATGAGGCTCAAAAATAATCCTATTCAGAAAATTAAGAATAGTGAATTCTTTTGGCCTGCGTTAATCCTTGCATTATATGTGTCTTCGCGCATTTCACTCCTCCCTGAAAGCATCAACCGATAGATGTGATACTAGCAGGCTGAATATAGGTGTTTGCCCTCACCTTGCTAGGACATTCTTTGTCTTTCTTTCTGACCCTCAAATTAGTTGGCCACAAACCTTTCAAGTCATCTGCAACCAACATATCTTTAGTGCAGAAGGGCCCCTAGTCTGTCGATCACCCAGTACTGAAAGGAATGTTACTGAAAATTCCAGTATTTCTACTGAAACATAATTCAAGTCAACTGAGCATTAAAGGAATACTTCATACCGAATAATTACAATGTACCATATGAATACTACATTTGAGTGAAAATTTAACCCCCATGAATTTTGGTGGGGGGCCGCCAGATATTCAGGCTGGTATGATCTTCAGTCCGCCACAAGATTCTCTTCCCGTTAATAAACGTTACGAGGCAATTTTAAACCCTTAAACAAGCTGGTAAGTTAAGCCAACGTCGTCTGATACAGTGGTACACCAGGTAGGATTTCTTAGGAAGAGTGATCCCAGTTCTCTACATTTGGGACTAAACCCACTTCTCTTGCTAAAAATGACATGAACATTGCACTTAAAGCAGCGTGTTCCATAGTACTTCCAAAGTGACCCAGCACTAATCCCAAATTTACGTTTGAATACATCGCACCAACTCTGCATGTGAGTACCCCGCAACAGTAAACAAGCGCTAAATACAAGGGCGAATCTTGAAAGACAAAATATTATTGGGTAAACTACTTCCTTGTATTGCCTTAACTTTTGTGTAGCACTGCCAGCCCTGGGCAGGAACAGCCATGGACTCAACAGTAATGAGAATGCTTTGTGAAACCAACAATAAGGGCTTTCTCTATCACCCTTATCCAACCTATACAACTCTCTTACAGACGTTTGGTTCAGAAAGTGTAACTAGGTCGGGATGCGTTGTAAACCGTGCTTTTACTTTTCTGCTGCTTATCCCCAATAGAGTGGGTCTCCAAGTAAGAAAAAAATGACCAAATAAATTTGCAATCGAGCATGTTTATAACCATTGAGTCGTACCAGAAAACTGGAATTTTCTCATGCAAATTTGTCTGATTAATATTTGTTGTTACATTTAGTTTCTAGATGAACATAGGGCTTCAGTCGTACGTCTCCATCGCGTTCGTTTCTATGCCAAAGCTTACACCTGTCTCCACGTCCGCCCATATGCCTTCATCTCCTCTTCGCATGACCTCCTCTATGTCAACCTAGCACTGACGACCGACTACTCGCCGCTTCCCAATAGGATTCCACTCGAAAGAGAGAGCCTAGTGTGTGATGTCATTTGATGGTATGTTCTCTCAGAGTATGGCCAATCCACCTACATTTCTTCCATTGTATTGGTTGCACAAGTGGTTCGTGCTGGGTTTGTTTACTCATTGCCAGAGATCCCTGTAGCTGATCATTTCTGGCTAGCCATCTGATCTTGAACATTCAGTGGAGACAGTTGTTGATGAAGGTTTGTACTTTGTTCGAAGTGGCTTTCGGGAAGTAGCAACACGTCCCTGATCCGTATAGCAAGTAGAAATGACTCCACGTTGGGGTTGAAAATCTTCATCTTATTTTCATGCATATACAAACGCAAATGTCCAGGTAAAACTACACTGCACTTTCAGGAACTATCCGCAATAAACAACGCGAAAAAACAGGACACAAATTGGTGGTTCAAAAGCCAAATATTCTTATACCAATACCGAGTCAAACATCAGGTTAATGTACACAAAGTCTAAGAACAAACGTCGAAACAATGAATGACGATATTACTTCCGATAGCTTTTGATCTTCCTTCTGAACAGCGAACGATGAGACGATGACTGATGGATCGATGACTTCGCGAAAAATATGGGGAAGTTGGGTTTGAGCAAACAACCATGAATTGATCGTTCAATCTTCAACTACATTCACACTCCCCGGCGAAAAACCGATCCATCACTTTACTCCATCACGACCAATACACGTTGACTTGGACGACATTGCGAAAACCTGGGTCACAGGGACAGAGCTGAAATGGGAAACAAACAGAAAAGCCAACACATCACAGGCGTACCCACAGCACAATCTCACACATCGAAAGCGATCTACGACTTCCAGTTAAAGGCATCCTCTTGACATTTTGCAACACAATCGCCACTTGCTAGAATGACTCTTGCAGAACTCAACGTGACCATAGCACCACCTCACGATATTCTACGCACATCCTCTTATCTATTCACTACCAATTACCACTGAAATCGCTTGTCATTCATTCTGTCTCAATTCTAGTAACGATAACGTATACGAGCCTCAGTCGTTTACACTCTCGCTCCCAGGCGTGTGGGACCACAGCTAATCATTATCTCCGTGTGCATTTCATTCTCAGCAATAGCCTAGCCTCCCTGGCGTATACGACCCGTCTGCTGTCTTTAACATCAATCAATTCATTCACGGATGCGGAAGACTCGAAACAACTTCAGAAGTAATCACGACGAAAATTTTAACAAAATTATGCAATAACAACAGGATATGAAAACAACGAGTAAACACAATGAATCCAAATAACACCAATTGATATGACACACCACACGTATATACAAACAGTACACACAAACTCGCAGTTCATGTCTTGATGGAATTCCTTTGAAGAATCGCAAGACTTACACCAGTACGCCTGCAAACCTTCTCAGGTTGAGGATTGTAGGTTTAAGAATGTCCGGACACAAACAAGATTAACCAACAATTAGAATAGTTGGAACTCACACAATTATTTAACACAAACATATGTACAATCACTACATCAATTGTTGTGCATTCTGGCACGACAAACTACCCTTGAAGAACTGTAGGACTTACAGCAGTACGCTTTCATTCCTTCTCAGGTTGATGATACAAGTGGAAGTCGTCCGGACACAAAGAGAATTAACAACAGCTAGATGAGAGAAGATATCAATTCAGTATATACAATATGAACATATGTACAAAATCACGCACCGACCACATTGGACTGCTCATTGATGCGCTACCCTTTGAAGAATTGTAGGACTTACAGCAGTACGCCTACAACCCTTCTCGGGTTGACGCCCTAGGTTGGAAAATCGTCGCAGAGTTCATTTGCTGATTTCCTTCTATCAGCTATATCTTCAACTCTGAACTGTGAAACGCCCATGTCAATGTATCGTAGAATATAGATGACTAACAAACATACGACGTATCTGCTCAACCAAGGGCAGAAACAGAGTAATTAGCAGCAAAGATAATAACATTAAAATAGTAATTTGAAACTAGAAATGCCTTTACTCATGCAAGTCAATTTAACAATTACCCTCTCGTACACAGTTGGCTTATCCTCCATAAACTGACCATTGACTTTCGTCCTTTCAAACGGACCTTTACTAGCATAGTCAAGGCATGAGGCACGTGAGTTCATGGACGTCCCTTTTATTCTGGATAAGAACACCAACGACGACTGAGTGACACAAGTTGATGAATTAGCGGTTCATCAGAAGCTGTTGTTGTTCGGCTTTTAGAAGTTTGTCTACCTGCAAGTTTACCCCCACTGCTGTCTTTTACCGTTAGCTCCGGTTTAGCACTAACTGATCACTTTCACTGACGGTCTCACGAGTATCCATACCTTCTTCATCTGCATCCGCATTTAATTCTACTTCACGTTCAAGTTGCACAGAAACCTTGTTCAACTCAACAGTAGCAGGCATTCCCCTCATCTCATCATGATCAACCATAGACATATCTGCACTAATAATAATAATGATTTACTTTATTCCAAAAACAGTACTTGTGATACAGAATGGAATTTTCAGCATTAATCACAATATTCCATCTAATTTCCTCAAATTATAAATAAAAATTAATCACACAGAAAATTTTCCACATTTACAATAGAGGTAATGTCAAAAACATGCAGCATATAAAATGGAAATAGCAATAATAATGATAACAGCTAAGGTAATAATAATAAGAATACAAGTGAAAATTGCCGTTGGCTTGTGCCACACAGTATTGGCAATGTGGTATAGAAATCCTAACATGTTTAAAAGTATTGAATACAATGTTCTTTTACATGATATGGTGAGGGGAAAAACAAAGATTACAGCCGTCATGGAGATGAGTTGGTGTTTGCAATTATGAGAGTAAAGCAAACAAGAAGTAACAGGACCATAAACATAATAGAAATAATAAAAGTAAAACTTGAAAGTATATAAGGACGGATGGATGGAGGAAAGTGTTTATTTACTAGATGAAAAAAGGTTAGTTAATTCTTGCCTGACACTATTTTCATCACTATCATGACCACTGTCACAAATATCCACTTTACCTTCGTTTGTATGAACAACTTCATCATTTTCAAACTCTTTAATAACAGCAGCAAACAGTTTGGGTTCCTCCTCACAAATCCTTAAAGGTTTTATACCTCCACTCTGACTAGTAATACCTTGTAAACCTGTGGAGTCAGAACTGGACTCTGAAACTGTAACTCTCTTCTCCTGCACAAACTGCAGTGTCGCCTGTAACACTTTGTTCAACAATGGCTTACCAGTTGCAACTACAGGCTTCTTCACTGCACCATTATCGTCCCACAATTCGGAGTCACACCTTGATTTCATATGTAGCTTACCGCTAAACTTGCTCACTGATTCACAGTTCGCCCTTGTAAGCACTTCTTGCAAACGTGTAAAACACGATTGTGGTTGTCTCGCAACTTGTAACCTATCTGTTGGGGATGTCCCACGAAAGCTGTTACACTCACTAAGTT